TGTAGGAAGTATCTGGCCACAGGGAGCAGCCGAGGGACCTTGCAACAAAGCCTCACCACAGACTTTTATTTGAAGTGGACAGTTTGTGGAAGTTGTGGCATGGGATAATTTATGAGGACATGTTTAGTGGCATGGCAGGGCCGAGTAGGAGTTGGGTGGGGCAACTGATGGCGAGTAACTCTTAAGGTCTGGCTAGTCTCAGGACTTGAAATTTTGAACCCTGTCCTAAGAATTTGGACTGTAAGGCAGACTTTGAAAAATGAGTGAGGATTTTTTTTTCCAGAGAAGATTCAGAAAACACCTTCACTCTCATTCACACATGGGGGGTTATTTACCAAAGCTGGAAAGTACAAAATCTGGTGCAGCTCTGCATAGAAATTAATCAGCTTCCAGGTTTTATTTCCAAAGCCAAATAGAACAAGCTGAATTTAGAAGCCGATTGGCTACCATGCACAGCTGCACCAGATTCGAAATACCCCAGTTTTAGTAAATCTCCCCCATGATCTTTATCCTTTCATTTTCAAGGGAAAAATGATCTGATCTTGACTAGGTGATATCAAACCCCTGCTAACATTAAGAGTTACTATTCTGCCTCTTCAGATCTAGGTTGGAAATTCCACAGTGAGAAAGGCATCTTTTCTACACATTTGGTGGAATCACTACAAAATTAGAGGATTCTGGGACAAAATTTCTTCCCTTTCTGAAACATATACACAGCATGAAATCACACTGTTGTCGATATTCCTAAAACCTAACTCAAAAGATTAAAAAGGAATAAGGGAATGCACAGGCACTGCTTTACATGGATGTAGGGTGCACATGGATTGGGGCAGTTAGATTGTGTGAACACTAGTTACATAGTTAGGATGAAAAAAGATACAAGTCCATCTAGTTCAACAATAGAAAATAAATAACCAACCACAATTTACAGAATCTTATAACCACAGTTGGATGTGGGCATATAGTCAACAATTAACACTTTGTAGAAACTTCTGTTTAGGTGGAATATGCCCTGGTGTATTTAGGTTTTGTGCTTCCCTAGGCAACACAAAAATTGACCGCTGACGCCACCCCCCCCCCCCCCCCACACTTCCCTGCCCCTGTGGTATTGATCGCTCCCCCCCCCCCCCCCTGAAAAATGCCACCTCGTGGTAAATACGCTCCTGCTCTCCACCAGATATAGACCCCCCAGTACACACCTCCTCTCCACCAAGTATAGACCCCCCTCCCCACCAAGTATAGTCCCCCTTTCACATTTATTTATTTGTTTATTTATTGGAGAATGTTCAGAGCATCTTAGGATGAATTTCAGATTATTATACTTTCAAGGGTGAAAGGTAGACCTTTATGCTTTAGGGTGTAGTTTATATAGATTTGGATACCGTAACAACATATTTATTTCAATTCCCAACTACAGTTTTACATTAATATTAATAACCTCCAATATGTGCAGGTGGTATTGTGGTAACATGCAGACTAATATTCAGAATTGTATTTCGAACCCAGGGATACCAAACACAGCATACCTTTGTCACTCAGGAGGGAGGAGACTGCTTGCTCCCCTTTCGTATGTGCTAACAAAGTCATATATGACCTTGATTTGTTTGGTATGATATTCCCTATTCAAATATATACCCAATATTATTGTGCCCTGTTTCTGTTGAATTCTATGAATTGTATGTGGAATTGTTACATGTGGAATAGACGTTTTATGGCACGCTCTACATTCCTCGAGTTCTAATGACCTTACAGGTCATGTGTGACGGCTTGACTGAGTTATTATTGTTTTAAGATAGGGCAGAGGAAAGTGTTTTCCATGGTTCATGGAAAACAAAAACACATTCTGCCAAGACTAATTAGCTGTTTACAGCCCTGGAGCTGGCGTCTATTTGTGTTTTAATGAGATAAGAAGCTCTTTTGAAGTTCGTTACAAGTTACAGCAATGTTTTCAGGAGGAAGAATATTGTTCATGAAAAACAAAAATGGCTGAGACCTTAACAAGATGGCTGTCGCGTACAGCTTCCATGTCTCTATTGCACCCAATTGTTACAGCGCCAAAAATACGTGGGTTGAAAATAGGTTTTATTTTGACAAAGAATGAATCTTTCTGGGCTTACAGTATTTGACCATGTTCTCTCATGGATGTGAAAACAAATCAATTTTATAAATAGACAATGGGTTTGGTTTACTGAAGGAATAGAAGATGTTCACAAAATGAGCAGCCTTTGCTCCTTTACTAAATTAACCCCAAAGTCTTACTTTTTGTAGTCATGCTAATTATAGATGTTGGTGTAATTTTTATATTTTAATGTATTATTGTGCTGAAGCTAGTGTCAAAGTCCCTGTGTACATATACTGTATATACATATTCACATATACTGTATACTGTTCATATATATATTATAATTTAAGCCCTGTGAAAAGAAAATAAATAACCATCATCTATTATTTATCTATTTTGTAGCAGCGGGAAAGGCATCATCTGTTTTCTTGGATTTCATACATTGCCTGGTTCATTTTGCAAACTTGTGTTTGATCCTATATAAGAGCCCCTCGGGCACACAGTTGTTCTGAAAAACCCAACACATAAAGCAGAGAATAGCCTTTTTTTCCCATCAATACTAATCCATTGTTTTTATTCTTTTTGCACCATTTATTATTTACTGTTTGGCTTTAAATTGTGTTTTCTCTTTCTGATATCAAAAAACACAGAGATATTACAAAGGGTATAATTATATCATATAATGAAAGGCATATCGGCTCTGAAGATGCATCTGATGAAAGAAGTATTTCATCTTTTGTGCTGTGTGACATGCTTTGAGCATTGCTCCCAACTCTCCCTGATTTTGAGAGACTGTCCCTCATTTGGAATAAAGTCCCTCTGTCGGTCCCACTGTCCCTCTTTCCTCCTCCTTTGTCCCTCATTTTGCTGTGATGTACATACCTTTATTAAAAATACACTATTTATCTATCAAAAAGTGTTTTACAGTGTTAACACATAAAGCAGCCTTATGACTTCTATGAGTGTCTGGCCAAGCACTGGTTAAAGCTTGTAGGAGGAGTTTTCATTCACTTCTGACTGTCCTATGAGGCTGTATAACCCCTGACCCTCCGTCTGGACAGTGCTGATTGGCCTTGTGCTGATTGCATGCACCCTCCAAAAAAAAAAAACTCCCTAACAATACACACTAAAAACTGAGCATTTGCAGAGTGCCTCTTAGGGCTCTGTATTATCAGCAGATGGAATGGGGACAGTAGAAGAAGGGAAGAATTAGAGAAAAAAAAAAAAAGACTTTTTACACAATGCAGAGGATTAACCCCTTAGGTTCCACAGTGAGTATAACAAGCATGCTTTACTGCATATACAGACTGATTTTACTGTTGTGGGCTTAGTAACACTTTAATGTTTGAGAAATGGTGGTGTTGGTGGGGAGATGAAGGGTACTTGTGTATGGAGGCTTTTCCCCCACAATGATATTTCATAAAATAATGCAAAGTATATTTGCAACAGCAACCAATAAGAATCCAGCTTGTACTGATGAGGCTGAGACAAAGTAAATTATGACTGGATGTTCTGGATTAAGCCACTTTGTACTCATTGCAATGTTTTTTTTAATAAGTCTGTGCTGTACTTATAGTTTTTAAAGCACTTTAGTATCCCTGTTTAATGTGATATTTAAAAAAAAATGTTAAAGATCAATCCACTTTAAAAAGTACTTTTATTTTCATATTTTTAAAAATGTAAAATTTTGTTGTCAAGCAATATTGTTTTGTATACAATCCTAAATGCATAGTATTTACCGGTAGTTATACCATGCATTTTCATAATACTAAGAATAGTGTTTAAGAAAAAATTATATCGCAGATTGGTTGGGCAACACTGATGATAATGATTATGATATTTATTAAAATGTACTCAAAAATCTTCACTCTAAAGACCAATTATTGATGTATGGAGTCATGGAAGGTTATAAGGTAAAGCTTCACAATTTAATAATAATAACATTTAAATGTGGAGGTGGGTTTTGCATGGCGGAAGATAAAATTGAATTTTGTTTTTGTATTTTAATATTGAGATATAATGATATGAGAGCTTATTCTTATTGTACAAAATAGGCTGAAATTGGAAAATTAATAAAATATGTTATAAAAAAATAATAATTATTATATATATATATATCTATATCTATATCTATATATATATATACAATTTATATATATATATATATATATATATATATATATATATAAAATATATATATATATATATATATATATATATAAAATGTATATATATATATATATATATATATATATATATATATAAAATGTATATATATATTTGATGTATGGAGTCATGAAGGGTTCACAGTTTAAATTCCAGTGCAAAGTACTATACTTATTGGCATGTTAGTGCCCAGCTTTGTTTTATAAGTAAAAAAAAAAAAAATAATAATTATATATATATATATATATATATATATATATATATAAAATGTATATATATATTGTTTTTATTTACTTTGTATCTAACTGCATAGTGTTGTATAACTGTGAATGGAAAGCGGGGTTGTGTTGTGCCTCTGCATCCTTTGTGAGCTCTATTGTTTTGTCTCTGCAGCTACTGAATGAAACCAGTCAGCCTGGAAGGATTCTTTCTCACGAGACGCTTCTGTGGAAGTGGTATTATAGCCCCTTAGTTACAGGGCAGAGAAGATAACAGAATTCAGGGGCAAGCCTTTTAAGCACATCACTTTATCTAATGCCCTTGCATGTAAAGCAATAACTGATGAGAGCACCAGCTGAATGAAAGATGCAAAGAGCTGTCCCTTTTCCAAACTTCTCTGGCACATTTGTATGTGGAGGAGTGGCTTATGGACTGCAGCTGTCCATGGCTTTACTGTCAAAGTGCATTAGCTCTAGCAGTTTGTTTTGGGATGAGAGGCAGTCAGTCAGTGGTGAACAACTGAGCACAAAGTCAAAAGTAAGCATAGATAGATATGCATCCTATTCTGCTTCTGCTGCCTTTGTTTGGCTTCCTCCACCTGATACCTGGTGTAGGGGCAAGCACTTCTCTCTGTGGTCCATGCAACAAGGATGCCTGTAGGTCTGTTACCTGTGCAGCACCTGAGCTGCTCACCAAAGATGACTGTGACTGCTGTGACCTCTGCCTCAGTATAGAAGGAGAGAAATGTGGTGGACGAGATGAGACGAGAGCCCGCTGTGCTCCTGGGATGGTCTGTGTAAGCCACTCTAGTTTGGGAAGAGGGTCATCCTCTAATTCTGAAGGAACAGGATTCTGCCTATGTGAAGAAGATGGCGCTGTGTGTGGCTCTGATGGACAAACCCATTCCAGTGTGTGCACCCTCCATCTGCAGAACTGGAAGACACAAAGCCAAGGCAAAGGTACCATCCACAAGATCCACGATGGAGAGTGTACATTTGGTAAGTGTTTGATTTGCACAACTAGCTAATATAAAAGTTTCCATGAACTTACAATTGACAAAAAATGTAACCATACATACTGCATAAATTGAACTCAAATGCTTGCTTTGGTTTAACTAAACTGACCAATCTGCTTAATTGTTATTGTAACAATTGGGAAAATTGGGAAAAGTAAATATGTTTTGTTTTTCTTGAACTGGTAGCTATTTTCAATACATCTTTTCATTATAGTTAACAAGTGTGCATGGGTATCCCATAGTTATGTAACATTTTACGTTCATTAACAGGTTACATTGCTTTGAACACAATAAGACCATTGTTATTTTGTGTATGTGGCAGTTTGTATTGTCTTCCATATAATACAAAAGTACTGCATGGGAACTCTAGTGTCATGTGTGTAAAATTGCTGACAATGTGTATTACAAAAAGAAATTCATGATAAAGACAATGCTTTCTTGACTTTTTTAAAATTACAGATCAGCCTCACATGCCTGGGGCATCCCTTGTACAGAAGTTGTAGATTGATAATATGTCTGACATTTCACCACGTGAGCGCTCATGGTGCTGCCTTCATGATATCCCATAGTTCTTTTATTGTTGTTTTTTTAGTGCTTTCATAAGCTGCCTCAGCTACTTTGGTGAACAAGAACTAAGGCTGGCCATATGCTATACAATTTTCTGTCCAATTTCTGCCCAATTTCATTTAGATTTACGTTCAACTATGTAGTGCAAGGGCCTGCCTATTTGGATACAACTGAAAGTGTTGTTTAGGTTTGACCTCATATTATATGGTTTTTGGTAAATCTAAAGCAAAATTCTCAAGAAAATTGTATAATGTATGGCCAGCCTTAGAGCTTTGCACAAAATACTGCTATTCTTTTTCTTCTGATCACATAGCATGATATCTTCATGTTTGATTTCATCTCCTATGCCATGGTATCATTTATAAGCCAAACTACCTCACCGACCTGATATCCAAATACCACCCTACACGTACTCTTCGCTCCTCACAAGACCTCCTACTCTCTAGCTCCCTGGTCTCCTCCTCCCATGGCCGACTCCAGGACTTCTCCAGGTCTTCCCCCTTCCTCTGGAACTCACTACCCCAATCCATCAGACTGTCAACTACCCTCCTCACCTTTAGGCGCACCCTGAAAACCCATCTCTTCAGGGAAGCCTAACTGCTGATCTCCTCCACTCCTCCTACCACTCCATCCCCCACAGCCACTTCCTCCTGTACCACTATCCCCTCCCTCCTAGATTGTAAGCTCCAAGGAGCAGGGCCCTCGAACCTCTCGTGTATTGTATTGTTACTGTATTGTCTCATGTACTGTCTCCCACTATAATGTACAGCGCTGAGCAAACTTTTTGGCGCTATATAAATACTGTATAATAATAATAATAAGCCTGTATCACAATTAACCTCAGTTACACTCTATTATATGGTCTCTTCCAGTCCAGCCACTGTACAGTCTAAAAGTCAATCCTACGTTTCATGGAATGTCAGAATGCCTAATGAACGCACTAATGCGTTTTTGAGGTTACAATTAATACCTTATATGTTTGTGTAGTCACCATTTATTGGATATTGTCTGCCTTGAATCACAGTTCAGAACCTGAATAGTCTACTCTAAAACATGGATACAGGAGTTTCTGTGCATATTATGGTAGAAACCAATGTATGGCAAGCATTATGCAGGTTAGGTTTGCCATATATAACACATTATTTGCTAGCTATGTAATCAACATGATCTTCACTAGAAGTAGTGTTGGGTAGTGTTTCTCCAGTGCATTAGGCTCCATGCACACTGGGTGTTTTAATAACGCTGGTAACATTAGCTGTGTAAAGTCATGTAAAAAATTTGAGTTTTTCAACATTTTTTAGCATTTTTGCATTAGCGTTTTGCTGCGTTTTTTCACGTTTGTGGTTTTTAGCAGGTTTTTTTTACCCCCCAATTTTTTTATTTTGCTCAAAAAAAGTCCAAAAATGCCGGCTTGCCGTGTTTTACCACGTTTTGCCATGTTTTTCAGCATTAGAGTGTTTTCACAGCTAAAAAAATCCTCTAGAAACCCACTAGTTCTGGGGTTTTTTTCCAGCCAAAAACACCCCTGCCAAAAAACGCTGATTACAGTCTATGTGTGCATGGAGAAATAGGATAACTTGCTGGGGGGGTTTATTGGCTGTAGAAAAAACGCCAAAATCCAAAAATAGCAGCTGTAAAAACGTCCAGTGTACATGAGGACTTAAACTACAGTGTATAGCCATTTATAAAAGCCAATGTTTGCCAGGTTTCGTTTGATGAGGATCACCTTATCACAAATACTCCCTGATATGTGTACATATATTAGTTTCCAGAGAACTGCGCTTAACTGCTTTACAAACTATCTCTTTTTTAAATAACTGAAAATATTTGGCAGCACCTAATTTACTTCCAAATTGTTATTTGCCAAAACTCTACATTGAATTGTTTTAACAAGTTGTGCCAGAATCACCATTTCTGAAGGTGCCAGAAGCACCCATTGGAGTGCAATTACCACTGGTTGAAAAGCTGCAGTTTGGAGAATAATGTGTGCCTGACTGAGAGCCCAAAATTAGCTGCCTAAAATCACTTTATTGCTGCCTTCTCCTTTTTATACTGTGATCTTGACACATGTCACATTGGGGTTGTTTTACTAAACCTGGAGAGTGCAAAATCTGGTGCAGCTTTGCTTAGAAACCAATCATCTTCCAATTTTGTTTTTTTTGTCAAAGCGTAATTGAACAAGCTGAAGTTAGAAGCTGATTGGCTACCATGCATGGCTGCACCAGGTTTTGCACTCTTCACTTTTAGTAAATCAACCCCAATGCATCAGTTTTGTAAGGTAAGTCACATGGCATTCAGTATTCATTTTGAGAACAGGCTACTTGTATTCACTTGGTCAGCAGGTGGCTATCTTATGGTTGGCTTTAGACTGTCCCATACTTACAGCTGACACTCCTGATTTTTAGCATAATGATAATCAATTGTTTTCAAAGAGAGTTATAACTTCAGGAAGTTGGAGGTCATTATCCTACAGTGAGATTATCCAACTTGCTGGAAAATCTTAGTATGAGTGGATCTGATCTTTTCCTTTACTATGGAGCAGAAGAAAATCTCAGAGTACTGTGTCTGTGGCACGGTCACTGTCAGCTGAGAGACGTCATGGGTCCTGGCACTCATGACACTTTTATGGATGGTTAGACATCTTCCTCCATAATGATCTCAGGAAGATATCTATTCCTCTACTGCAATCCTAGTAGATACGATCTTGATCTTTCAGGTTGATATATTTTAACTAACCAAAACATGTACTGTGGTGACTTCTGACATGTATTAGTTTTGGCTTGACATACTATGAAGATACTTTTCATTGAAGGCCAGGTTGCTAGATCACAGTGAGACAGTAAATCCTACAGTAAGCTTATTCATGTGTGAGATCAAACTGCTGACACATTTACAGTGTGTGTGATCAGTGTTAATTTCCCTACATCAGTGGCAGCATTTTCTCATATTTGTTTGGCCCAGGGAAAAAGCAAAACAGTTCTCAGATTTTCATCTCTTTTGCGCATTTTTTTGTGCAAGAGACACTGGCGTTTATTTGCTATAGCTGGAGAGTGCAAACTCAGGCTCACTTCTGCATAGAAACTAGGGATGCACCGAGATTTTGGTGGTCGAAATGTTTCGGCTGAAAACACCCCTTTTGGCCGTCAGCCAAAATGAAAAAAAGCACAGATACAGGTGCCAAAAAACCCGCCCTTCGCTGCCACCTGCCCACCGCTGCTGCCATCGGTCGCCGCTCGGTAGTTCTCAGCCTTACCTGAGAAACCATCGAACGATCCCGGCACTGGGCATAGAAATTAGTGAAGGAAAGATGGCCTCCACTCATCTCTATCCCCTTGGAGGACCGGAGTGATGGCACTTCTGGTTCCGTTGTTTTTTAAAGCACTAGATCAGTTTTTTTTTGATCCAATGCTTTACATTGCAGAGGAGAGATGTGGGGTCTTATTGACCCCATATCTCTCCATAAAGAGGACCTGTCACTAATTATTTCTATCACAAGGGATGCATGCATTTCTTGTGATAAGAATACAAGTGATTACATTTTTTTTTTAAATGGTCAGTGCAAAAAAAAAAATTAAATAAATTTAAAAAAAAAAGTTTAAAATGCCCCCGTCCCCCCATGCACGCATGTAGTAGTGAACACATACGTAGGCAATGCCCACATATGTAAATGGTGTTCAAATCACACACGTGAGGTATCACCACAAATGTTAGAGCAAGAGCAATAATTCTCGCACTTGAACTCCTCTGTAACTTTACACTGCTAACCTGTAGAAATTTTTAAAGCATCACCCATGGAGATTTTTAAGTACTGCAGTTTCACGCCATTCCACGAGCGTGCGCAATTTTAAAGCATGACATGTTGGGTATCTAATTACTCGCCGTAACATTTTTCATATTTTACAAAATATTGGGGGTATATAATGGTTTTTTTTTTTTTTTTTTTTTTAATCAAAGTGTATTTTTTTCCAAAAAATATATATTCATTTTTAAAAACTGCGCATTTCGGTTTCGGTTTTCGGCCAAGTGCATTTTGAATTTTCAGCTTCGGCACTAGAATTTTCATTTTGGTGCACCACTAATAGAAACCAATCAGCTTCTAACCTCAGCTTGTTCAATTAAGCTTTGCCAAAAAAAAAAACCTGGAAGCTGATTGGTTTCTATGCAGAAGTGAGCCTGATTTTGCACTCTTCAGCTTTATGAATAAACCCCATTGCCCCTTAATTTTGCATACAGTGAAATTCAACTCATTAAGAACACAATACATTGCCTACTGGCATAAAGGGACAGCCTACAGCAACAATTACAACCCAATCAATCTTCAATACAATAGCAAGAAACATTTTACAATACAACCATTAACATTCTCTCATCTGTGAGCATGTGCTAAGGATGTAGACCTAATAATGGTTATCATACCGAATCCTAATTGTTCATTAACATTAAGGTATGTCATATCAT